TCACGGACGATCAAGAGCGCCAGAAGTACGAGCAAGTTCTGTCGCTGTAGAGATTTTTTGCAAAATACGACTCTCTCCCCTCACTCAAAATTTCTTCCTCTGATGTTACCCCCATTTCCTAACTCTCCCTCCATCTGACATCTTCCTAAATTTTGTCCAACTTCCTGTCAGAGGCTGGGAAGTTACAGCTCACCTGGACTGAAGGACCGAGTAATCTATTCGAGGAATCTCATTAACTGAAAATATCTTCTCGAAGTCAAGTACGACTCCCCTAGATTCTTCCAGCAACAGAAAACGACCTCCTCGCTGGAAATCCCCAATGCCTCACCCTCCTCAGCTGGTAATCGTTTTCACCATGAACGAGCCTAAAGAAGTCAGTTTGCTCTTGGCGTACCATTAAAGCTTTCTTCGTCAACCTTGAGAAGCTTTCTGACTTCCACAGCCGAGCCACTTGTGTTATTTTTTGAAGGAAGGCTGCCGCTCCAGCGGTAATAAATGACACCAACTTTGAGCTCGTTGAACGACTCCGGTCTGATTCACGATTTGTCTTTTCGTAGGTTGGCCGCACAAGACAAGCTGATCGCTATCCCCATCTTCCAAGTAGGTTCAACGGATCCAGAAGGCAGCGGATTGTTGGCAGTCTTGTCCGATGGAGAGTTCATAGAGCTCAGTAATCTTGTCGCCAGTATGGAATATGTTTCAAGGACCAAATATTATTTCACCCCTAGCTCGCCCTCCCCTCTCCTGGTGACAGGGAGTTTGTTGGGGGATGGCAAAAAGCGATAGCTGTCGAGGGATCATGGGATAAGGGACGTAAAAAGAGCAGTACCTGTAGCGTAACTATGAACAACAGTAAGGCATTTACAGATGAAGTCTTATAGAATTGCTGGTACAGCAACAGTAGGTAGTATTGGTACTAACAAATTATACAGGTGATGGCGCAAGGGATGAGAAAGATTGACCTGCTGTCCACGGCACAGACATCATGAGAATGACTGCGCTTCATAAGGCTAACCGTGCAACCATGGCACGTCATACGTAGGGCCTCGCTACCGTGAGAGTCACTTTTGGTTCGCGGAGAGAGGGGTCGTACTTGGTTTGAGGAAGAACTGTTTCTTCTTTTCCTTGTTTGACGGGCGCTATCACATCGCTAGGCGAACTTCCATTGGGGATGGGATGGGAGGGGAGCGGGATGGGGGGGGGGGGTGGGGAGAGAGTCGAAGTCTTTCAAGTTGGAAATTAGCCTCGTTGTCCGATGGTAGCCTTTTCGCGGTTGTTCCCGTTTCTTTGCTGTTAAAGTAGGCAAGAAAAGCAAGACAGTAGGCAAAATGGAGAGGGGGAGGGGGCGGGTCGTAGCATAGGAAGACACTGGGGGCAGGGTCGTAATTCCCGAAAATCCCCTAGCTGCAGGACGTGTTCTGCGTGCAATGCGCGTACTCGTCGGCTAAACTTGCTTGTATTACCATTTCCTCTCCTTTACTCGCCTTATTCCAAATTCTATCTTCTCACATACCTGCTGATAAGGGCAGTCAGCGTTGTTCCGGCAGAGTTGATCTCGGCGTGGGTCCTTCACTAGCGAAGGACGGCAGCGAAAAACCTTGAAGGCTACTTGTTCACTTTATTTGAGTTTTTTTGCAATTAATAGTGAATGTGCACCTTCTCATCCTCCTTGGTTGATCTTCACACACTTTTCCCCTCCAGAACACTCGTAATCATATGTACATGGTGCTGTTCCTAGTGCCGCTTCCATGGATGCCATGCACACAAAAATGCTGCTTTCATTTCGAAGGCATTGCTGCAAGCACAGTTTATCTACAAAGAACTAAAACGTGGTAGTTGGCTCGGAATGCTAACCTGGCCTTGTAGGCAATCGGCATGATATATACACTGTCGATTGGTTTTGGTCACGTCATACTGGCAAACCGTGATAAGTTGATCCACCAAAGCAATCGTTCCCGAACAGCTCTCTCCCATACGACACTGATACAGGAAGATTTAGATGGCACAGTGGAATGCTGCTTCATTTCAATTCATTTTTGTGTACAGGGAGGGACCATTTTAGACAGTTGTGACCTCATCCATAAACATTTCCTTTTGAAGCCATAGCACCCACTCCTAATGCAGCCCTTGCCATGGCGAGGCGGATGGGTCTTCAGCTGCGGTAGCTGCCATTTTCTGCACTCGAAATGCATGGGAACGGGACTGTAGGCTAGCAGTATCCTAGACTTGTTTCCATATTCGGCCCTATCTATCCTCAAAGCGCAGCACTTGCGTCGATACACCAAGGTTCCGTAGCGAAACACCCCACGCAGCTCCAGAGAACAACCAGAAGTGAGAGGGCGCAGGCAAGTAGCGCGATTGGCTACGGCTGGCATGTCGCTTACCGTGCGGTAGCTCTGCCGGAGTATAACCAGGAAACCGGGTATCAGCTCACCATCTCAGTCCTCTTTCCCTGGCATTTTCGATCGAGGAGAAGTGCACACTACAATAGCTATTGGCATCACACCAGTGAGAGCAGAAAAAAATCAATGTGATCAGCGGCGAAATGTTCCTTCAGAGAGTCGCTGCAACGCCTGATGAACTGTACGCTTTAACTCAATGGACTGTACGCTTACTGGGAATGTTGGCCTCGTAGCGAGGTGGACTGATTCGCAGCTAAGGGAGGGTGCCATTTTCGCCACTTAGAAGGGTATGGCAGTGAATCTGAAAGGGTGTGGCAGATGCATTCCTTTAAGGGTCTGTCTGAAAGCAATGCGCGTCTTGCAGTCCCTTGTCCTGCGCCTAGCTATGACCAAAAGCCCCTGACGTCTACTTTAAGTTCTATTGGAAGTCTGAAATGTACCTGGTAATCAAATTGGCATGGCAAAGCTGCAGGATCTATGAGTTCATGTTTCGGAATGATTTGAGGACCTCTCATCTCAGAATACTTCGTCTCCATCACTTTCACTTCTTGGCAGAGTTTGTTTCACTCGAACTGAAATAACCTCTTGTTGAAGAAATAGATTCAAGTTTTAGAGTTCGACGCATTTCAAATGTGTGTTTTCTGTAAGTCCTTCCAAGATAGTTTTCTGAAGAGCTGCTACTGTAATAAAACATGTATAGAAGGGAGTCAATGGCTCAAGTTCTCGGTTGCTTCGCGCACTCCACACCAAAATTCTCTGAGATGCGGCAGGCGTGGCTTACTTTGCTTGAACGAGGCGGCGGTCGGAATTTTCGTGGGATGTTCCCATTTTGGTACACTTGAAGTCACGTCTTTTTCCAACACCGAACAGGATGACAGCTGTTCAAATTGAAGTATCGTACGAATAACCCATCCTATACCATCCTACTATATATAATCCTTTAAGTTTGTCTTGTCTGGCTGTGTTGTGTGTTGTGTGTGTGTGTGTGTGGTGTGGTGGTGTGTTGGTCGCCTTACGCAACTCTGGGTGCCGGCATAGTCTACTGTTTGTGTGTGTGTGAATGTATGTTTGTGTGTCTGTATGTGTGTTTGACCGGAAATTCATAACTTCCTTCAGAAGAGCGATAGAGCGCTCAAACTGATAAGTGATGTAGGGGGTCGGGCACGAACACTAATGGTAGGTGGCAGGAAGTGTGATAAGCGTTGATAAGATACTATAAGGAGCCTTAGAAGGCAAGAGTCACAACAAATACAGTAGGCTGTGGGCCACAGCCAACGCGGGCGTTGGCTTCAATCAAAAAAGTAAGGATAGCGGTACAGGATTGGGAACATTATTGGTCGGTGGCAAGGAGTGATAACAGTTGATAAGATACCATAAAGGAGCCTCAGAAGGTAAGGGTCGCCGAATTCAGAACGCGTGTCACAGCAGCGGTAGAGCATTGGTTCCAATAAGTAAGATAGAGTGCAGGGTCGGGACATTTTTGTGGGTGGCAGGACGTGATAACAGCCGATAAAGTACCATAGGGGCCCACTTCAGGAAGGCCTCAAAATTCAATGCAAGAGTCGGAGCAACAACGGGGAGCTGCATTTTTACTCTGCCTGCGACTGAACTTGACCACCGTGACCCAGGAGTAATGAGCCAAACCTTAGTGACCCGAGATGTTTCTATCCCTTAGCGATGTAGTCGGAAATGATCCGACCGCTAAACTCTCGAGTACCACCCAGAAGTAAAAACCTAAAGTTGTTTGCCAGTGAGGAATGATAAGAGTCATCAAGAGACAGATATGTGAAAGCCTGCACCGGAAGTGCTAGGATGTAAGAAAATTCACTATGTTCCGATATTGTGACCACTGAAACTTTCAAACCGCTGAGCTGTCCCGTTTCGCGAATGGTGAGTTGTTGTTGTAAATACCTTAGTTGGCAAATGTTCATTAAAGGGGAGAATTATGATGAGATGAGCCGTGTTTTGAAGCAATGCAATAAGGCGAAGTTTAGGGGCCACCGTAAGAATTCTGCCGTTGATCAATAGCATAGGTTTAACCATTCGCGCAGAGTAGTGCGCGTCAGCCAAACTGGTTTTCAAATGCCGACGCTTTAGCCGTTCTCATCGATACGGAGCCGTCTGTCTAAGCCTATATGGCTGGTGTTAAGAAGAATTTCTGCTAAACACGACCACCCTCACAACTCTGCCGATAGCCTTCAACTCGAGCGCCCCAAAAAGCTCTGGCAAGCTTTACTTGATTATTGAGTGAAGGAAAGAACTGTAACCATGGACCCAAAATCTATAGCTTAGAAGGAGCTCCCTTCAGGGCATCATCGGATGGAACCGTTGGGCAGATGCTGCCAGAAAGTCAGTTTTGGGGCGCCTTAACATTAAACAAACTGCCCAGGACATTCCGTATCTTCCAAACGCGGACGCCTTTCTCGTCCCCACACACTGTTCAGGAAAGTAAGAGAAACTGAATATTCTACGAATTATATGTAGTCTAAAAGGGTAACCAGTAGAGGGAATTTCCCTACTTGTTCCTTCTGCAGCACAATGAATGCAATGAGTGCATCAGAGTTTTGCCTCCGAAAACAAGCAACTACATTAGAAGAGTTTCTGGGTGAAAATTACCTGGAGGCAGAGCATATGATAGAAAGCAAGCTGCAGCATGAAAGGTAACTCATGGCACGTAGAGTGAAGCAATTGGTGCTTTTTTATATTAGTTATAAATAATATGTCATCCCAGGTTATAAGTAATCACATTGTTTTGTTGTACAGAAGATGAGGTCTGTTGAGAGTAAATCGGTCTCCGCGTATTCTGCCATGACATAGGTGGTAACATTGTTGGTGAGCGGTGATTCTCTGAAAGCAAGGCAGTTCAGCGCCAAGATCAGGAATCTTTCGATGTTAACCAGTTCGTCCGAGCGCATTCAACGCTTTGACGTGGTCCGTCACTTCGGAGGTTGTTCAATTATAACCGGTCTGCAACAGATTCAGTGCCATTGCTCTAAAATGTAATGTCGGTGTTTGGGAGCCCGAAGACCAATTTTCATTCTTTGTTCACCGAGAAGGTGACATGTCTCCCTTTCGCCGCTCAAATATTCGAGGCTGCAGAATTTGCCACATCAGTCAATGGAAGCACCTAACAAGTGAAATTAATGTGATAGCTGTTGTCTAGTTCGCTGCGGATGAAGGGGCGTGCCACGCAGTATGTGTGTGCTACGGCGCCAAACCGTTCTCTGCCAGTTGGAGGCGGGTATGCGGAACAGAGTTCGTAGAAAAACAAGTGGTGCGCAGCGAGGATATATCCAGCTCCTTTCAATAACTGGTGTAGATTGGGTTTGGCACCGGACCAAACTTCATCTTGCCTGACACTTCCCTTCATCCGAAACGAATTACACTATACAGGGGGGGCCAAAAAAAAGTCACTTTTCCTTCATTGACTTTCGAGGCGCTATAAGTTACACTTTATACACTTTATTGAATTCTGATCGGACATTTTTACCACCATATTAAAGAGCATATTAAATACTATCATGATACTCCGCTACAGCCTTCTGGACGAGCGCCATCGAGAGATTCTGGCACGCGACCGCGATGTGGTGCCTGAGATCAGCGAGATAGTCGATTTCTCCGCCACCGTAGACCACCCTATTGAACTCCGCCCGAACCGGGTAATTGAGGGATTCAGGTCAGGTGACCTACTTGGATATTCCACCTTCTTTAGGTATTCAGCCCCCTTCCATTCCAAGTAGGCGAGAGTTTCTCCAATGCCCTTCGATTCCATGTGGTGGCACCCAATGCTGCAGCAGCACAAAGTTGTGCGGGCGACGACATCTGAGGAGGATATTCTTCACGAGCTGCTCGATGTATCGCCAGCGCTCACCTTCAGTCTGGGGCACACGAAGAAAATATTGGTCTTTCCATTCCAGGTACGTCCGCTCTATAACATCACCCGCGCCTTGGCGACAGTGGTGAAGATAGTCTCCTAGACCGTGGCGACGTTGTCGGAGCTGCTCGATGTGATCGAGAGTACTGGTCTCCAGGTAGCTACCCATGGGTGACTCCACACTAGAAGTTTCGCAGCTGTTTGGAGGTGACATGAATTCCAAAGGTCTTCTCCAGTCAGGCTGCGACTGGAGATGACTTCATATTTTGGTGTACATGAAGGTGATGGGCGAGAGCCAGCTCCTGTTTATAGAGTTAACATCTTTGAGTATCTTTCTTGCCCTGTCACTTCGGTATCCACGTCTTCTGTATGGACAGCGAAAACTTTTGCTGTATATGTGACTCGTATGAGTTCGTTCGTTATTTTTTTTTGTAACTTCCTTTTTTTTAATATTAGGACCCTCTTTAGCATTAATCTTCGATCATACCTGCCCATGTTATTAATTCACCCTACACCTTCTCTCCCTCGACCCTCCCTGATTTTTGCTGTCCCGATATTAGCCCAGTTCAATACACTGAAGATCTCCAACCCTTACCATTGGAGAGGAACCCCGCGACTTGATATAGTGGGTGCGGGAGTCCTTTAACGAGTGTGTAGTCGCTAAGCCACTTTCTAGGGAAAAAAGCGTAAGAATCGTCGGAGACACGCAAAGTAAAGACCCTACTGGCAGCCTCACTGTACGAGCTTCCTCGCACCTGCTCGCTCTATTGCAGCAAAACGATATCCTGTCTTGTCAGGCTCACTAATCGTGTTCAACCTTAGAGGAAATACTGTTCATTGGTGCAGACAAAAAAAAGAACAAAATAAGAACAAAGATCATAGGACGGAACTCGTGAGACGGAAATAGTCTTCGGAAATCGCGCTTTGTGCCAAAATTGGATTGCTGTTGAAAGGTTGATCGAGAAAACCTTGCACCTGCCACTTACATCACCCCCCCCGCCCCCCCCGCAGTGAATCTAAACTCGTCTTTATCTGACTAAGTATACGTGCTTTAACTTGCATGTGAAAAAAGAAATGAAAAAAGACCAGAATTCTGCTCATGAGCACGAGCCATATCAGCTAAAGTGGGACGCGCAATACAGATTTATGCCACCGCTCCATCAGACAACAACTGAGCTTCCCGGCGTTAACAGAGAAGAAGACACTTCCAGGTAGGCCGCCAGCTGAGCGGGTGTCAGAACTGGGACTTTCAGCGGCTCCTCATTAACTGTGAAGTCGCGAAAATGGGACAACGTCTTAATATGCGGGCTCGACTACTTACGAGGGAGGCATACCGTGAATTGCTTTTTTTGTGCGGGTCTATTCTTAATCGTGCGCAAATAAACTGCTCGCAAGGAATTAGCCCTAATCAACTGAAACTAACAGCAACACATAAGAATGCAACAGCTGAGGTAATTGTCTTACTGCTGCCGCTATCTACCACATTGCTTCCATGAGGGGAAGGGAGGAGGGGCCGGGAAGGGTGGTGTTCAGGGCGACTTGACGTCCGTTGGCTGATGACGATCAATGATTAGCAACTTGCTATTGAAGCTCTTTGTCTCGATGTCGCAGGCTCTGGGGAGGAAAGGGCTCTTACCAAAAATTTGTGAGCAAAGCCTTGTGACCAAACAAAGTACCCCTAATACCTGAGTAATCTATTTCCAGCTAGAAACATAACGACTTGGTTAGGCTGTGGTAGCAGAGGTCATTGGAAATGTGGTGTCGCAGCGTCATTTTTTTTTGCAAAACTCTTACTATTTTTTTTATCTCACTCTTTAAATTCTCCAGCGTCAAAAGTGTCTTTCTCATACCCTATGTCTGTGGACAAAAGCCACATCTCTCCCTGAGAATTGCACATTTCGCCGCATAACGTTGACCTTACTGAATGGAAAATGTTTGAAACCCACGTAGTCAAGTTGCTTTACCCTGAAATCAAAAAAAAGAGATGGGCTAGGCGTCTAGCTCAACGTACGGCTGAGGGAGGTCTCCGAATAGGGACGCGTGCTGCCCTCCTCAATTACCCTTTGGTCTGTATCTAGGAACGGGTTCAGCATGGGGATGTGCGAAATCCCGTCGGTGTGCGAGTACGACCTCCCCCACCCCTCGAAGAAGGTCCAGTTATGCACCCCCCCCTCCTGACTCTAACTGCGAACCGGATGTATGTTCCCACGAATGGCCATCCTGAATTGGATATCTGAATTTCGACACTGCTATATTAAATCCAGGCAAATAAGATGGGCTGTTTCAGTCCTCATGGCAATACTGAGGGCTTGAACAAGCTGCGCCTCCGCACTGTCTCTACAACAAACTTTGTCTTAGGTTTTGAATGTAAAACTCGTACGTTCGACAGCCATAATGAACATTGCAAACTTTTAACAAGGAACACAATCAAAACAGCGATTAATGGTGATGATTGATAAGATAAATTCGAGAGAAAAATAGCCCCAAGGTCAGTGCGCAAGGCTCCAGATGTGCATCTATGAATGGTGACGGGTAAATCATGAAAACATGCACGACACAACAAAGCGAAACATGAAAAATACAAAAAAAGTGCGGAACCAAATGAAAAAGATGATAACCGCGGGCGGCAAGTAACATCGTTCTATACACGGCTGTCATTCGATCGCATAACGTTGCGACTCCGCTTTCGTTGGGAAAAAACGTCATTGCGAGCGCGGTTGTGCTGCGTGCCAACCCTTGGGATCTTTTCGGGGGGGGGGGGGTATATCTCTTTGAGGTGCGCCGGCTTTGAGGAATAGTTTAGCAGGCATGGCAAGCGGAAATGTTCCTTAGAGTTGCGTTTTCCACCTAGTTACGACCTGAATGTCTCCCCGTTCGTGAAATCTTTCAGATGGGTTTCGGATAGACTAGGGGTAAATCGCAAGCGGGTTTTTATGCTTCACACGAGGACTACTTATTTCAAACGAATTTTATCGGAACTAAAACCGTTTAGCGGCTCTCAATTTTCTCCTTCCAACCAAACTTGCAAACCATTTTCCTGAAAACTCGCTAGATCAGGAGATATTTCAGATGGGTTGCCGAAAAGCTACTCAAAAGAGCTACTCAAAAGTTTGACTCCCTGTGTGCCATTGTCAGGATACACTTTTGGTATGCCGTCAAAACACATATTTTCCTTCAAATTTAGTGAAAGAGGAGCTCGATCGATTTGGTTCGAGTGTGCGCCGTGCATTACGCTCCCACGCAGAGGTGGTGGAAAGGTGTAGGTTCTGATCACAGGTGCTTTTGTCCATGCAAGCAGATGTTTGTTTAGGGTTTGGAAAGGACAATACGCACGAATCTGTTTGAGACGTATTATTTAGTCATCTACGTACTTACGAGTTCATGCTATTAATTGATATTTATTTATTTATTTATTTATTTATTTATTCTTTGCTATGGGTACTTGATAGTGTAGGTTCTGCCCAATTTAATTTTTTATTATTTTTGTAGTCCTCCTTACATCCGGGTCTTCTGCAGCTTTCCGTCCGTTCCATCAAACTTAGCAATGACACTTTTGTACTGTTTGATGCCTAGCGAGCCTACATTTTCGTCCCCCGCGGCCAAGTACGATCCCCTTTCTGAGGATTTCGCATGAAAAGAGGGCTCTTAAAATGGAGCAGTTAAATCTGTGTAAGGATACATTCATAATTTGTTTTCATTTTTTTAACATCTTGACTTCCACAGCTCCACTCCCACTTTCATCTAAAACGTCAAAGCATTGCCCTTCGCTGACTGAATTTTGAGATGACGACCTCCCTCCCCAGCGGCCAAGTACGACCCCCTATGGGGTTCGCACAACGATGCAGTACCCTGACTAGGAATAGGATGAGCTGCTCTGCTGTAATAGTGGGCATTTTGTATCCGGAGAAGGCTACCAACACAAGGAAAACTTCCCGACAAAACTAATATTGAGCCTTCTTTATTCCTTTTGGAAAGGGCCCCATGAAAATGCAGCCAATAGTTAACTCGATTTCCAATTTTTACAGATATGAACCAACCTTTCGAAGCACTGCTATCTTCATCATCCTTCATTGAAATCAAACGGAGTTTTATTTCGTCTCTGCTTGGCCATCCAGAAGCTGCCGAGGAGCTCTCGCTTTTTAGTTCTATGGTATTAGGTTGCGCAATAGAGTTCGATTCTTGCTTCTCGTAAAATATTCAATTTTCAGATACCTTGTGGCTGTGAAACTTCCATCGCCTCAACGCAAATGTTTTTCTTCTTCGATTCACTATAGATGCACTTCTTTTCACTAGGACAAGCGATCGTTGCTGAGCATTCCACCGTGTCACCAATTTTCCTGAAGATCGTCAATGTGTTCTGTTGAGGCTTCTGGTATTAGTAACTGGTAAACATATTGGTCTTTTCAAGTCTGATTTTACCAAACACATCCATCGGCCATGGTAGTCAACGCATTGCAAACCGCCGTTGCAGTCTGAGTTCCGATTGCATGGCAGTCCTTCACTGCCAGCTGAAAAACTAAGAGAAGTGAAGGTATTCCAGGACAGTACTGGACACGGCAGGTAAGCATGACAGCAGTAATCCTGCCCTGATGTTCAAAAATTAACTCCTGTTTTTGACACAGCTAGCTTCTCGGTTTTTACCTTTTGTTAATTCGTTTTAATAGTCATGTAGCTATACAATACTCCTTCATTTTAGCCTCTCAAAGGCATAGGCACTTTAATTTGGTACACGGTCTTGAATGGTAGCACGGTGCCTCATAATGGGAAAAAGTCGAACGAGCAAAGTGAAAGGGTCAAAAATCTGCGAATAGAAGGCATTTGTTCAACACTGCTCCAAAAGTAATTCCTGACGAGTTTCTCGTTGGCATCGGGCCAAATACCGTTACGGTAGATACGGCTGAGTGTATGTACTACACAGCAGCCGCTTCATATCAACCCCATCGCTTCATATTGTACTTCGCAAATAGAGCGATACGAACGTCAGTCTGACATTTGTGGGCGCGCGGGCGCGGTGGGCGTCCGGGTCAGTTTGTTGCAGCTTGATAGGGCGCTATGAGGGTACCTTTCCTAGCGGAGGCACCATTGAGCGTCTGCTCAAAGGCTCCGAATTCTGTTCTGCTGGACGTATATTTCTACGGGTCTTGGGGATTTATCGTGCAACTTGCCTTTAAATTTTCATTCTCTCTGACATACAGAGATTTTCCAAGAGTGAAGCTGTTGAAATCACCAGTAGTTCCTATATCTTGCGTGGACTTATTACTAATCAAAGGCAAGAATACTTCCGAACACTTACCTTCTAAACGCAAACAATTTCCCAGCGTTCCATGTAGACGCACGCATACCTGTGTCCGAGCACAGTCTCGGTTGGTATTGCAGTAGAACGAGGGTGGACTAGGGTACTTCTGCTGCAAAAATCATTCTTATGGTGTTCGAACGAGTTTATAAAGATCTCCACTTATAGTCTTATACATTTAAATTATAACAAGTTGTAATATCTTTTTAATGGGAACTGTGAACTACCTCGACATCTTTACCAAATTTCGTGCAAATACTGTAGCCAGTCGTAGCTGGAGTACACCGCATTCCTGATGGACAGGAAGAATCCGAGAAGCAAACCTTCGCCATGCAGATAGGTAGTAAAAGATGTAAGAGGAAATAGAGGCAAATCATCTGGAAACCTTCACTCATCAACGAACGCTATGAAGGGGACCTTCGAGATCATGGAGTGCTTCCTAGAAACGGATTGTTTCTTGCAGTAGGGGTCCAAACGTGGACCCTAGAGAAGCACATCATTTTTAGAGCGCTTCTAGGTTGCGGAGGAAGGCTGAACATTGGGTTGCTGGTCAGAATCATTACGATGGAGTTAAGCAAGAACTAATTACATCACGAAAATGCCAGGGGTTATTGAGAGTCAAACATGGGAACAGATTCTTTCTGTTGTCTTCAGTTTCTTTCCGAATAGAAGCGTGCGCAAAAATAATCGAACATTCCGTCCAGGGAACAAAAGCGATTTCTATCACTGAATTCGTTGTGAGCTGTGAGATAGCCTCTACTCGGGGTGTTGCAGGCATTAAAAGGCAAAAACGCCCGAGAACAAAAACAATATTTATCATTATGTACTCGCAGATATATTCTACTCGAAGCCGTGCAAGCGCCAAATGGCGCCGGCGTCACAAGTGGATGTCGAGATCAGTATCTTCATTTACCCCTGGCACAAGGAGTTTTTTAACTTAAAAAAAATCGTTGGATTTTGTAAATAGTGGTCAGGACCATCGCTGATCCGTGCAGAAGAAGGTTCCTTGAAATCTTTGACAATTTGAGCGTGCTGTACATCCCAGCCTTTTGAATATGTGAACCGTACACCTATCCTTGTCTTCGCTATGCTATGCATGTGGCACGTCTGGCCATCGGACTGATAGGTTATTGATCATTATGAATCTTTTTCAACTCCTGCCACCCAGGAAGAAGTCGCTGTATTTCGCTAACAAATGTTCCTTGAGTTTTCAGCAGGAGTAGATGTTTATATGGGTGCCTGTTTTCGCTTTTTTCTTATAGTTCTACAACTTTGAATTATTCACTCCTGTATGAATAGAGGGAAACATTAATATAAGAATAAAAAAAACATGATTTCAAGGGATCTCTTGGGCACCAGTCAACCACTGCAACACCAGGGCGTCAAAGAAATTTCCGCTGAAACTGCCTCTTTGGGTAAATGAAAGTCCTAATTCCGATTCTATCACTATTTTTCCGGGCTAAGACAAATTTCGGTACATTTATTGAGCTTCGAAGCTTGTAATATTTCAGCAGTTGTAGTGCCGCCTGTCTACAGAAATCATCCACAACCGACACCTATTTTGTTATGTTGACATACAGAAACACAGGATTCCAGAAAAAATCGAAGAAAAAAAATCAGATTTCGAAAAACGCGAGAACCCATTCATTCCTTCCCGGAACAGGTCCATAAATTGCCCTTCGCCTCCTCAACTGAGAGAGTGTCTCTCGACATTCCTCATACATTCTGACCAGAAGCTGGTGCTAGGGTATTTACGGAGAAATTCCCACGCCCTTTTCACTGTACAGTATTGGAAAATCTTTATTTTTCCCTGTTATCTTTTCACGGTGACGGAGTACCTATTGCCCTGTAGGAAGCCAGTACTACAAATGGTAATGCCGCTTGAATGAGCCCGCTGATGGAATTTTCCACTCCTTTGCCGACAACACCTGAATAGTGCAGAGAAATGAACCATTTCTGATGTCTCCTAAGATGATGTATGAACCTCCACAAAATGCAGAGAACCGCTTCCTACTAGCACGCCGTAACCTGGAAGGCCATCTCGCTACGCGAAGGTCCGGAAACAATAAGCCAAACCAAAACGCAAAGTTTCAGGAAGTCAGAAAAAGAATGAAAGGGTTGGGAAGTTAGCCAAAAATGACGGCTTTTTCGACCATT